GAACCTTTCACTAAGTGAGCGACTGTAATTGCTGTCAACCATCCAACAACTGCCAGTGTTTAAACACAAAACACAAAATTTGTTTTAAAATGTTGTGTTCACGTTTTCTACATTGATTTTTAAGGCATAGACTACTATGCTAAAATATATCAAAGAGATTGAAAATATAAAGTTACAAAGAAGCACAAAAGCCACTGTGGAGAGTTTCCCCAACTATCAGAAATTTGTTATATTGACTAATTCTGACTGAAACCTTCTCTTACTCTCTGTCAGGCTTCAGGTTCATTATCACCACAGAGGAAGGAAAGGTAGGGTTCTTACCCCTCAACATATGAAATATGGAAATCTGTTCAACCACTTTGAATGAATGGGAAAGTGGTCACAGACATACGGACCACAGCTTATATTACATGGTCTGTTGAGAAATCACTGAAAATTTAGTTGTTCAAAAAGTGGGCTAAAGATATGTCCAGCAGGTGGCAGTAGAGGTTAGCAGGAGACAGACTGAACCTTCAACATTATACTTAAACAGCTGCTACTGCAGACTGAAAGGAATACATGTTATTGGATTATCTCTAATGATTGAATAATAATGATTTTTTAAGCAAAATATCTCAAGAAAAGTTCTGGAAAAACACGTTTTCTTTACATTTCCTTCAGATGTAAAACCAAGCTTTTAAATCTTTCCTTTCCTTAGTATATTCAAATAATACTCTTAAAGATATAATATGTAATTAAAATAGGTAGGCATGAGGTTGTAGTGGGGGAGGATGAAGGGATGTAGGTAGGGATGAGGATATAGTAGGGAGGTAAATGGATGAGGGGAAGGGAGGGTCGAGAGATCTGAGACAAACGAAGCAGGACGGGTTGACTGGTACAAGAAGGGTTGATGGGTAATTGGAGCAGTGGTTGAGGCGTAGTCCTGCTCCCGAACCTAAGTTAAATTATTAACTTCATTTCACTAGCATGGACTATACAACGACAGTGTAATGTTATTGGATTTTTTAGATGGACGAATTGATGTGAAGGGCAAGGATGAATATGAATGAAGGATTTCTGTGTCAGGCTGCTCAGGGAGGATATGCCATGAACTGGCTTGTGTCGGACCCCCCAAGAAAGTCATATTTAAATTGAGCTCAGTTGCGTTTGAGCTTGACAGATATCATTGAGTTTACTGAGGATGTAGGAACGATGTGCTTGTAATGACCAGGGGCCAAGGACCTCGGTGGTTTGATCTGAGATGCCCAGTCTGTCCACAGTGGATGATGCTCTGACGGAGAAAGAATTGCAGGTATGGTGATCAGATGAAAATGCCTGAAATGCTGAGTACCTGGAGCTGATATATTCGATCAGAGGCTTGTATGGGCTGAGAAGGAATCAAGGTTAAAAATGTGGATAGGGAAAGTAACTCACAGCTGTCTAACTCCTTCAGAGTGTAAATATGAGAGTCAGGAGCATGAATTGAGATGTCTGTTAGGCTGGGTTGGCAATAAGGTTTGTAAACAGCGGTTGTCGGGGTGAATTCGGAGCACCTCAGGAAGCCAAAGAAAGCTAGCAGAAACATGGCCTCTCAGGTTAGATCGACTGTGTAGCCTGGACGAAGAGAGCAGATGCAGAGGCTGACAAGGTCTGAGGTGAGTGGTAGGCTGTTTGCGGGGAGGACGGATTCCTGTTTCTGCAGTGGCCAATTTGACAAAGTTGATCCTGGCCAGGTAGGTCTGGATGGTTGAGGACCTGATTTTTTTGAATGAGTGAGCATGAGTGATAACATTGCATATAGACATGACATCTGGAGAGGGGAAGGGTGGTATAAGGCATGGAATGCCTTGAAACTATTCCAGCCGGTGAAGTAGGCTGAGAGAGTGCTTGGGTGAGGCTGTTAGGGATGGCTTCTTGGGAGGCATGAATGGATTTCCAACTGCCGAGGTAGTTGAAAATGGTGGCAAAAAGCGGTGGGACTGGTATGGGATGAGTATCCAATTCAGGGGCCAAGATTAATGTGAGTATGTGCAGGAATTACATAATGACCTTTGTTGAGGCTATATGCTACTGCGTTGTTATCACTGTGCATGAGTATGGACTTCCTGGATCATGCCCCCCAAAATGGCTGCTATGACCATGGGATATATCTCATGAAGTGCTGATAAACGACAGCTGGAGTCTGAATTGAGAGATTTACATTCTGGGGGCCATGAGAGTGAGACATTACCCTCTGCAATAGCCACTGAAACCTGGGTTAGAGGCTGTGTCCATGTGGTGTGGTTGGATATCTTCAGGGTGAGTGATAAAGTCATCATCAGATTCCATTCCAAGAGGACAGAAAAATTGCAACAGGTGCATTTACACTTTACATGCATCTTCCAGGACAACTCTATCATGAGAGACAGATCTATTTTTAGCCTCTTTTTACCGGAGTTTTTCCGTGTGGCCAACCCTATTGGGCTGATGCGGAACTCTGGAAAAAGGAAGACTGTTGAATGAGCCTTTCATGAATCTGTCTTTGACCTTTAGCCAATAAGGTGTCGACAGTTTGAGGTTCAGTGAGAAGGGACAGGTTTAGGGTGGTGGAAGGTTTTGGAAAGTATTTGTATACCAGGATGGAAAGCATTTGTAAAGCCATTGATGAGAGAGTGGACAAATTGTCTATCTGGATGATTTTGTAAAGCTGTGGCAAGGACATTTACCGTAACGGGTGTGCTGAGGTGCTGATGGTCAGACACAGATGTTCTCTCAGTTATTTTGACTGTCCTTAGGTTTTTTTGAATTCTTTTTTTGCCTTTTATTTAATTCAGTTTATTTATGTATTTTCTTGTTGTACAGCACTTAATAAATAAACATAACTTGATGCATATGGAGGACTGAGTCCAAATAAACTGCACAGTGTGTTTAATGCTGATGAGGCAACATGTCATCCAGTGTAACAATGTGTCAATTTGATGTGTCTTAGGACGACAATGGTGCTCTGCGGCACAGAGGAATAAGATAAATCAGGCTTTGCTACACACACAAATACGAGTCAATAGAGTCATATCACCTGGATTTTTTGACAATAAGGGTGTAATAGAGGATCACCAGATGCATCCTTTGAAGACAGCTTGAAATATGAAGAGAATGTCTGTCAGTGTTTCACTCACTCTTCTATGCCTTAGTTAGAGCTAGCACTCTTAGCTGGTACTTCACTGTTTGGTACGTGCCCCAGACTAGGCCACGTACAGGGTTGTCTCTGCCAGCTGTTAGATGAAGCTCTGCTTTGATGTGCAGAGCCACAGCTCTTTGATGGGGGTTCATTACAATCAGAACCAACAGCATTTGTTAAAGGGCCTCCTTGATGTGCCTGCTCCATGAAGCACATATTCTAATTTGAACTCAACACAGTGTGTCCCACAGTGTGTCTGTCATGGCACTGAAGTAGCCCCAGTGGATTGCAGTATGTTTCATTTACAGCTAGACTTGCTTCTAGACTGCGGTCAGCTTCCAGTAGGAGATCAAGATGTTCTGCTTTCACTTATAGGGAACACATTTTATGGTCCATTCAAACACAGTTGATAAAAAGGTACTGAATAAATGCTTGTTACATGCTGCCCATTGTGCTTTTTTTCCCCTCCTCCTTTTCCTCACTCTTTCTCCTCACTGGCGTGTGTGATGAGCATGATTACATGGAGCAAGATTCAAGGGAGGCTGGAGAGACGCTTTCTCTCTCTGTGTGCCATCAGAGTTTGCCGGCAGCCACTGCCATTGTGGTACAGTGGTTTTTGTCCTTTTGAGTTGGAGGTCTGCAAGTCCTTTTGGTTTTTGTGGTTGGTCGAGATCATCCCATCTTTTCGTTCTTTTTGGGAAGGCCACCACACTCCCACAGATACATTTGTTTTGTCTTTGTTTTAACCATTTGTCTGGTGTGGCGTCTTCTTAACATGTAGCGTTAACTGGGTTGAGCCAAGCAAAAATGTTTAGGCTGTGTAACAATGATATTGAATATTAAAAACAAATAACTGTGTTGTGGATTGAATTCTGTGTTTTTCACTTTGTAGTAGTTGTTAACTTTTGCAAATACTCATTGTGTACTCGTAGGATAGTACACTATTCATATTAGAAGTATCATTAAAGTATAATTTAAAGAGTCTCTAGCTTTCTTAAATGTGGCAGCGTGTGTCCTGACAAGAATCAGGAATAGAGATCACATTTCTCCTGTGTTAGCTTCACTACATTGGCAACCTGTTAAATATATAATATAATTTGAAATTCTCCTCCTCAAGTATGAATAATATAATATGACACCATTATACCTTAAAGAGTTCATAGTGAATAACCCCACTAGGGCACTGCGCTCCCAGGATTCAGGCTTACTTGTCATCCTTAAAGGGTAGGAGGCAGAGCCTTCAGCTCCTCTCCTGTGGAATCATCTAACACTTTCAGTTCAGGAGGCAGACACCCTCTCTTCATTTAAAAGTATGCTTAAAACTTTCCTTTATAATAAAGCTTATAGTTGGAGCTGGTCTTGGCAATCTCTTCGAGTCGTCTTCAAACGGTGTCATTTACACCAAGTTTTTAGCCTAAAGGTCCTCGTCTGTAACTGTGTTCAACATTTTTAGACAGTCTGCTATATGGCAGCAGTAGTTCAAACCAAGTTAGATATTACAGTAAAAATTTGTCTTGGAAACCCCCCCGAGACTTTTTCAAACACAATAAAATAGTCATAATACATTTTCCTCAGACAGAAGGCCACACACACTCTTTCCTTCCTTTCAACCCAACTAGTTTACAAGTGCTGTTGGACACACCTCCTCACATGCATGAATGTCTATGGATTTACTTGTTTTAACTTGATTACAGTTGTGAGTTGCATGTCAGGCGTTCAGCTGAATCGATTGTTATATTTTGTGACGCATGCTGCTTGTCATGTCATTGAAACCGTCCAGAATGCACATCTCTATTTGGAGGTAATGTGGGCGGGTTGTGGAAAGCTGACGTCAGTGTGGTCGGCCGGTGACGGTGGAGGAGGGAGCACAGACCGGGCCGATCCCACGTGTGACGGAGCTGTGTTCGCGGCTCACTGACTCCGCCGCTCCGCTCCGCCTGCCGACCAACTGCCCGTGTGCATCCGCCAGTCACTGCCTGTAGCTGGGTCAGATATGGAGGGAGACGGGAGCCAAGCCTCCTTGGGAAGTCCGACCGATCCGCAGCACGACCCGGGGTAAGGTTTCAGCCCTTCCATACGAACATGGTGTGTTGTTGTTTTTTGTCCGGTCAGCTGCAGCCCTGCTTATGTTTCCAAACGGACCTGCCCCCTTACAGCGGAGTGTACTCCTGGATCGGTCCGATGTATGCCCTTGTTACTCGTATGGAAAGAACACACGCCGAATTACTCTCATGGATAATGAAATACTGACATCTTTATTAACGGATGAACTACTGTTTATTTGTTTTGTTTTTTTTTACAAATGTGAGGTTTTTCTGGTGAAGTCATACTCGCACTTTATTTAAATAAAACACTACATTCTGCATGTGGTTCACTTTGCGTTTTGACGGAGCAGGTGAGGATTGTGTCACAGTCGAACCTACGTGAAAAGTTGAACTCCGCTCTTATTCGTCGATCAGTGTTCATCACATGTATGCAGAAGTGAAGACCGTGCTCGGGTCAGGAGTTGACAACCTTAACTTTTGTTCTACCCGGTGTGTTCTTCAACTGCCATATGTTTTGAATGGAGTTCCGCACAGCCGGTTGCACGGGGGCGTTATGGGGCTGCTGCTTGCGCGGCTTTCTAAACGTGAGTCGGGCGGACTCTTCATCACATTGCCTCGGTCTTTGTCCCGAGCTGTTTAATTCTCTGCAGCCCGTTAAACACTGCACGAAACGTCAACGTGGACAAAGTGACATGTTGTTTTTTCATTTGGCAGGAAAATGTTTATCGGTGGCCTCTGCTGGCAAACTTCACCAGGTAATGACAGCATCTCTCTCTCTCTCTCTCTCTCTCTCTCTCTCTCTCTCTCTCTCTCTCTCTCTATTTCAGGTCCTCCAATTGACTGTCAAACTGTTATATTCACTGCTGACATCACATTTTCATCTGTTTATTGAGCAGGGAAATAAAACAAACTGTAACCTTCTTATACTTTGTTTTTTTCCCCCACAGACAGCCTTAGAGATTATTTTAGGAAATTTGGGGAAATCAGAGAAAGCATGGTGATGAGAGACCCAACGACAAAACGGTCAAGGTAAATAAATAGAAACATTTCCTTGCTTAGACAACAATGGGAAAAATGCAAGTTTTGTATTTTTGACTGATATTGAGCAGCTATTTAGCTAGAGTTGTTATTGAATGATGGGGTAATGCAGTTTGGCAGTGGCTATGGAGCTATGGAGAATATTCCCTCTATGGAAAGTACCTATTATCTCTTTGAATAACATGACTAACATGAATTAAAGAAGTTGTTAAATGCTATTGGGGCAGGCAAGGAAAATATTTAAATAGTAAATATCAACAACATGGCATCATATGTGCAGGTGTTAGTGTTGTGTCAATTGAAAACTGATCGAGAATCTCGTTAGAAATGTCATATGCTTGTGTGTGGTTTCTCAACAGGGGTTTTGGCTTCATCACTTTTGCAGATGCTGCCAGCGTAGATAAAGTGTTAGCACAGACGCAGCACGAGTTAGACTCTAAACGGGTACGTTCACCTTTCTATTCTAAATGCATGAGAGACATTGACATCTGCTATTTCTAGCATTCATGCATGTGTATCATAGTCATAAACACCTGGTGGGAGCAGAGCGTGGTGACGGAGTCCTTGCAGTGGAGATAGGGACCCTCTCACTCATACACACACACACACACACACACACACACACACACACACATTCTTCTCATTTTTAATCCAGTGAGAGCTGTTTTTGTGATTTGTTAATAATGTGTGGACTTCAGCTGTTTTTAAATAATATGATTTTTATTACATATCCTGTTAAGGACAAAATACAGGGATTTCTTTTAAGAAACCAGATAAATGTTTAAGGTCAAGTAACTGTGGAAGCCAGGGTTTTCATCTTGGTCACATTCAATGAAACCCCCCACCCAGCACTGGTTGAACAAAGTAGGTCAACCTGGGCGACTGTTTTACTCAGGTACTGAGGTACACAGGCACAGGCTTTAGCTGGGCTATTATGTGTTTGTGTCAGGTGGGGGTGGGCTGTTACGTCTTGGAATGGATGAGGACCAAAATGCAGAGGACAGATCCAATGTACGGTCTTAAATATGCCCTATGAGAAGGTGAACAGGTAGACAGTCAGGAAGACAGCGGTAACCAAAAACACAAAAGTCTTGTCATTTGTGTTTGCGAAGACCAAATAGTGTTGTTTTTATTCAGTAACAGTAACTGGTTTGTCCGATGTCACTGTGTCAGTGTGAGTGTATGTTGGTGCGAGCTTGTGAGAGAGAGAGGTAAAGAGAGAGGGGCAGAAGAGAAGTCAGGAGGGGATGAATTCATTTAGTGTAGCTGTGCTGTTAAGAAAGATTTAACCAATTTAACCCTTTCATACACAAGGTGTGCAAACCCTTCTAATGCACAACATGGGTCAAACATGACCTGTACTCATTTCCTATGTTATTTCATGCATCACTGAGTGTTTCTTTTGAAATCAATTTATTTCATCATGTTCTCATTAAATATCTTGTTTTTGATTGCCACAAATCATTACTTTCATTTTTCCTGTATTACTTTATAATTCTACATCAAGTTTACACACGGATCAAAAATAACCCATGTATGCAAGTGTGATCTTAATAAAAATTGCACACAGGCCTGGTGCACTGGGATCACCAACTGCTGACTTTTCTGTCTTTGGCAGCTGGGCAGATGTTGCACCCTCCATGAGCCTCTCCATATGTGGCTTGACAAGCTCTTTTGCCAAGCTCCACTCATCAGATGAGTCTTCTATATCGTCAAAGGAGCTGTCTTCATTTAGTAGCCATTTTTGACCTATGTACACGTATGTAAAAGTGATGTAGAAATACAAAACATTACATTTCATTTAGCTGACACTTTTATCCAAAGAGACTTCCAATTAGTGCATTCAACATCTATGAGGGGCCATTTGGGGTTCAGCCTCTTGCCCAAGGACACTTCAGCATGGGTCAGCCAGAGCCGCCATTTTGACCCATGTTCTGCATTAGAAGCATAGTCATACAGTACCAAATGAAAAATGTAAATAAGGATTAGTGATGATCAATAACAAGTAAATTGAGGAATACCTGAAATACTAAATGACAAAATAAATTAAGGAGCGTATCTGGAATAGGCTCCTGACACCTCAGCAGTGCCCCAAAACATGGGCACTATCGTTAACGCCATGTCCAGATTCAAAAGGTAAATGCCCACAGCTTAGCCCTGGCCATCAACAACACAAAGGATCACCACCATCAGCTGAAGAAAATCTCCTTCCCAAGAGCCACAGGGAAACCATGCCCACAATCTGGGTTGAACTCACCACTGCCAATGACTGGCCCATGGAAGTGGACCAGGGCAAACAACTTAAGTTCCCAGGCCAGATAACACCACAGCTGTGGTTAGACATGATCATTGTGTCAGACTTCCCCAGCAACTGATCATGCTAGAATTAAGAGTGTGTAAGGAAGAACATATGGATGAGGCCAATGAGAGGAAGCGCCAAGTACCAGGAGCTGGTTGATGTGTGCCTAAGGAAAGGCTGGCAAACCCGTTGTGAGCCTTTTGAAGTGAGCAGCCAGGGTCTTGTTGGGCATTTCTAGGCATCAAATCTGAAAGTGAAGACGTTAAGTAAGCCATCAGGTGACTTTGGATCAAGAGGGCAGATCAGCGGGTGAATGCTGCTAGGACACGAGCTGGGTCACCTGGGAGAGGGTGCATTATTAGGACAGCCTGTAGGCAATTTCATTACATCCATTGCACTCACTGATTAAATGATTGGATCTCAGTGGTCAAAGGTCAAGGTTTTAGCTTCTTGATTGTGATATATCATATCAAGACTGCTTCAGGTAATTTCTTTAACTTTGGACTTAATATGAATCTGGAAATTAAAGTACATAGAAATATGTTTAAGGAAACTGCACTGGTTGGTAGAGGCATAGTCTACAACTGCTGTGTGATAATTCTAGTTATCTTTAATAACACAACTGCTGTCAAATTACCATTTTTTCCAGAGAGGAGAGGGCGTGGATTGGCTGGTTTACTGCCTCAACCCTCAGGATATGTTACCACAGTGTCAAGCATTATAAAAGACCTGACTAAACGTTTACTAAATTAGTTGCCAACTGTTTTTTTAGAATTGATTATAATGGTATAAACTTTATAAATTAATCATCAGTTTAAAGTTGCCTCAATATTTAAAACATGCAATCATAGTTGAGTCTTTGTTATTGTTCTCTGTTTTTTATTTTGCTGAAGAACAGTACATGTCAGTGATGCTAATATGTTTTATATGCTGTCTTTGTGCGTTGTTGAGTTGACAGTTAAACTGACTGAGTCAGTTGTGTGTGATTCTCGTGTCTCTCCAATCTCTTCTGTCTCAACATACTGGCCCTGAAAATGACACAATAAGCATTGTAGTTATTTTCAGTTTGAAATGTAGCGTTTTGTGTATTTGACTAGATGTCAGTGGCAGTGGCGTCCTCATGTATTGATGGTTTGATTTGACTGCTGCTGAGAAGATTGAGAGCAGTGCGAAGGCGTGGAGGGTGAAATATAGAGCACTTTCACGCTCACTGAGGAGTCTTGGTTTGTGCTGGAGATGACTGCTTGATTTTCTTAATCTCTGAGAACCATATGGAAGCCTGTTTGAAAAAAGACTTAGCTTTTTTTAAATGAACAAGATTATTAACTTTTTTATGCTTTGAAACAAACATTGTGGTCACAGAACTGTTTGTACATGATGCTCAATAATGCAGCGCAGTGTGGCTGTGCATTAAAACCAATGACGGTTCATAAAAATGTATGATATGACAGTATAGTTCATAAACTCCACCACCTCCATGTTAACATCGATCAAATGTTGAGATAGAGCTAATCAGAACTACTTTCTATCCAGCTGCATATAATATACAGGTATTCATTATTTTCTTGCGATATCTTGCATTGTTTTATTGCTTTGTAAAAAAATATGAAAATGGTGAGAAAGGTTGTTACAATGACTATGATCAAAATAGAGGCCAGTTTACTGTCTGTACCTTCAACTCACACTCACTTATCCACGATTACCCTTGCTGGGCTAAACTCTATTTAGTAGTTTTTAACCAATTATTAGTACTCAAGATAACTAATGACCTCCTCCTAGCTGCCAATTCAGGCAACTTCACTGTCCCCCTGCTTCTAGATCTAATTGCAGCTTTTGACACTATTTATCACTCTTTTCTATGGTTCTGCTTGAAACTGGTTTTCTACATATTTATCCAACAGATGCTTTAGTGTCTCCCTTAGTACCTCCTCCTCAGCTTCTACCTCCTGTGGTGTCCCCCTAGGTTCTATACTTGATCCCATCCTCTTTTCTATCTGCCTGCTTCCACTAAGTCAAAAACAAAACATATATTTTCACTGTTACGTGGATGATACACATATCTGCCTCCTCTAGAACCAAATAACTACAAAAAAACTAACTGACCTCAGCATCTGTCTTTAACATATCCAATCACGGATGCCTTCCAACTCAACTGAATGACAATAAAACTGAAGTTATTGAACTTTGGACCACATCTTTTTAGGGATATCTCCCCTCATCTAGGTCATTTTACACCCTCTGTTAAAACTCATGGAATTGATTGAAAATTTGACCAACAAATGAATCAAGTTGTAAAATTAAACTTTATGCAGCTACCAGTGATGGCACAATTAGGGATGTTGGGATGAACCGATTTTACCATAACCGCGGTTTCATAACGTAACAGTTTCATAACGTAACAGTTTCATAATGTAACGGTTTCACAGCCGTAACTATTGTGTCCTGCATCTTGTGAGTCATGTAATTTGTGTATGTGCTGTGCGGTGAAATCTCCTCATGATTTACATAATTTGTATGTGCTCTGTGTGCTGAAATCTCCTCTTGTTATAGAGAATTGACTGGACAGTCCTATTTCCACCAACGTTGGCCAAAAAACTCCCATCAGAGGAGTAGAAATCCTTCTTTACTTTTGGTTTCTGACCAGCTCCAAGGAGCGACCGACATGCCTCTAAATCACTGTACAAATTTCCAATTCATAACCATGCAAGTATGGTACGAGCACAGGGAGGTAACATAGGGCGCCTATTGTCACCTGCACCATATTGTTTCTGTATTTAGTAAGACTTTTAGGAAAACAGATGAGGAGAAGAGAGGACAATGTAGAAACTATGATACATCTTGTTATTCATATAGAGCTTTTCAAGAAGTGCAAGTTCTTCTTGAGAGAAATATAATCGTACAAAAAAAAATTTGTAAAAAATTAATTAATGCCATTTCTGGATGTGATTGGAGGTTTAGAGTTCAAGGAAGACATGTGGTGTGGGACAGCCTCACATTTGGATGTAGACCAATTCATAACATATTTGCTTATACTGGAGATTATACTTATTTTGTGTGACATTAATACTTTTAAATTAATGTCACACAAATTATTGGTTGAATAAGTCAGGCTGCTGCTTACAAGCTACTGAATAACCAACAGTGATGGGATACTAAAATATAGGTGACAGCAATGCTAAATTGATTGGGTGAAGTTATGCAGGTATGCCTACCTCAGGCTATGAAAGCTTAAGCCATGCTGAAACAGTAAACACCTAAGTGTATAAAAATATTTTGTGTACCCGTACAACACCAAAAAATCAAGTCTACTACACAAACATGTTTTCGGGTTGTCCTTCCGTCTTATCCCTGTGAACGCAATCTCAAGAATGCCTTTGTGGAATTTCATCAAATTTGGTACAAATAACAACTTGGGCTCAAGGACGGACTGATTTTATTTTAGTGCCTGGAGGTCACAGGCCAAGGCAGCAATGACCTCATGTTACTGTGTTTCAGTTATCAAAAGGTTACAGTGACCTTCATATGAAAAAAAGGATGGAGAAATATGTACACAGAAACTGCACTGGTTAGCGGAGGCATATAACCACAGTGCAGTAATTCTAGTTCATTTTTAAATAAATGGGTTAGCTATTTTTACCATCTATAAATGGTAAATGAAAAATACTTCCAAGCTTTTGACATGGAACAATTTGACGTGGAACATATGGCTGTTGTTGGGAGAGGAAGCTGTTGACCTTTTCAACCTCCTCCCCAATGGTTGTCCCTGCTCCGTCCCCATTGCAACTGCAACACTGACTAAACCCATGAAGGCAGACGGCAACCTCAATGCCTTCTTCAACAAATCCACTCTATACAAGGTTTCAAAATGGACTGTGGCTGGCCAGTACACACTTTCAACCAGGTCAGCAATGTCCACTGAGCAAGTCTTTCAACAAGAACAGCTATGGGAGGGTCAGATTGTATTTACTTCAATGCACAAGCAATTTAAAATTACTGTATGAAAAAAAACAAAAAAACAAAACAATTCATTCCAATCAAAGTGACTTCCTTTCCTGTGGAAACACTTTTTTTCCCCAGTTGAACAATCATAGCAGGGAAGCATGATTGGTAAAAAGCATTGTAGGAAGCAAGGGAAAATGTATTTTATCTAGTAAATTCCAGTAACATCAACTTTAATCAGTGGACGTTTTCTTTCGGTACAGCTCAATAAGTACATACACACAAGCAGTGGATTTAGCAAAGCAGCCAAAAACAGCAGAGCAGGAGGCAGAGAGGGACTGAAGAGAGGCTCCTCAGCTTTATACTCTCCAGTTTGATTAGGGCTTGAGGCACCACCCATTGCAGAGGCGGAGCTGAGGATCTGGAGCAGCACACACACAACATCATCAGAAAGACATTTATATCCCTCAGGGGAATGTAACAAGGAGAAATAAAGTAAGGATTGAAATGGACAATAAATAAAACCATTTCTCTCCAGTTCTCCTCCTTTTTGGGAGAGGTTGTCCTTCCTGGTCCTCATCAAGCCTAACAAACTGTTCTGTCCCAGGTTTTGACGTTCCTGCAACTCCTGTAGCTTCACTTGGATTCTCCTTGATTAAATACGACCTCTTTCTCACTGATCCCTGCTCAGCTACACTGCAACTCACGCCCTACTGATGCCTCCACCACCCCAGCCTCCACCTTTTAGCACTAAGTCCATACATGGTTGTGGTAAATTGTATTCATCTTGAACAAATGTATCTTGCCTGCTATGCCCACTGGGGTTTTTTGCACGTGACCTGTTTTATCTTAGCATGCTGGTTGGTCAATAAAACAAGAAACATCCTCCTGCACAGCTGGAGAGCCCCCAACGTTTCAGAGACATACACATGCGCCAGCAGTTCGAAAGAAAACCAATAAAATGACATATATAAAACTATATTATGCTATATAACTTAGCCATCATCTGAATGACAGACCAAATTTTCAGATAATGCTGCTAAAACAGAATTACATGATAGTATCAGTGATAATATGTGAGAGTAAGTGTGTGAGTGAGTGAGCGAAGGCTTTTCACAAACTTACTGGGACATCCTCATAATAAAGTAGTACAATTGTCCAGTATAGAGATAACAAATGCATGCTGTTAGAAGTGGCAAAGACAACTGACATACATCTGATTATTATCAAATAAATCATCCATATATTTACTAGGGCTGTCAAAATTGCTCCAAAATTACATTCGAATATTCGCTCTAAAAAAACACATAGGTTCGAACCATTCGAATATATGCGCATGCGCAATGTGCATTATGCCAATAACAGGCGGACAAACTAATACAATGAGACATAACTACTTGTATAGGGATTTTTATTTCGGTTTTAACATAAAACATATCTACACATTACAAAATAAGTAAATGAACTAACTAACTAAAACTTAGACCGTAAAAAAGACCGCTCTGTCGCTCGCCCCCCCCCCCTCTCTCTATGCGCATACTGATTTAAATAAACAATTTGTTAATAAAGGTCGGTAATAACGGGTCTGTGTGGGTGATGTGTGCTGAAGGTAGTGGGAGTGTATGTTGCGAGTTAAGGGGGCACGTCAGCCAGAGTTGTAGTGGGTGTGTATGTGAGTGTGTATGTGAGTGTGTATGTGAGTGTGTATGTGAGTGAGTGAGACTGCTGCCTGCTGAACAGAGGGTCGCAGGAAGAAGGATCTGAAGTGCCCGTGTTTCGGCTACAGAAACCTTCCGAACTGATCCGAAAACAACCCAAATTTTTATCCACCCACCTGGCAACCCTGGTCGCGTCTCAACCTCAGCAGTGAGTGACGCTGTGCAAGTGCAACTTCTGTGGCCTGTCCCTGACCCGTCATGCAGTGCGCCCACTCGCTGATGTGTTTTTTTCCACAGTCGAATATTAATTTTCACAATCGAATCTCCGTTTTATTTTAATATTCGAATATATATTCGAATTTAGAATATTGGTTGACGGCCATAATATTTACCAATGTGAGCTGATGAGATCTTTCAGCCCTCAGCATGTGTCTGTTAACAGATACACTACATGCTATTCCTTTCTTGTATTTCTGGGAGAGCAGCTACCCAGAGCATGTTTTCTGCCCCTAGTGGTTGTAAAATAAATTCTTACTGTGCTTTTGCAGCATGTATAGTACATGTACACATCACTTCCACTTAATCCCCCAGGTAATTGTGTACTAAAATTAGTGCAGGAATAGTGGACTGAAAACTCAGCATGTATAGAGAATAGAGAAAGTAAAGGTATCATCATTTCTCCTCAGGACTATTGATTTGCTCCTGGAGTTTACATGTTATGCTTTTTAGCATGTGAGTCATTCATGTCTTTGTTTGATGACTCAACTTATTTTATGTTCTTTCTCTGCTGCAGATTGACCCTAAAGTTGCCTTTCCTAGACGCGCTCAACTCAAGGTAAGAAGACGTCTCTCCTTCATGCCGTAGGTTAGGGTTATGCAACGTGTAATGTCATCTGTATACCTATGAAACAATGGAAATACTAATACAAGACAAAACAGACTTTTTTGGGATATCGTGGGATATTACCATTGTAGTAGAGATGACCAGCAAGGGACGTTTCCTGTTTTGTGTCTGCTTGAAATGAACTTGTTCAAGTCTAAGCTGGCAGCTTTGTTAATGACTGTGTAGGAGGCTGGAAACACTTGCATATATGGTGTTACACATTACAAAGCTCTGATATTTCTCTCCTTTTTTTAGCCATTTTTGGTGGTGAGGCAGGGAAGCATTTGCACTCATCATTTGAATAAACATGAAATTGACTCAAGGACACACACAACAAAAGAGCAGAGCTGCAGACAGCAGGTGCTGCAGCCAGCAGCTGTGACAGGACTGAGAGCTCCAGAGCAGTAAACAGTGGAGGATGGCTGAAGGTTAAACAGGACCTGCAGTTTCAGGGCAAACTCATCAGTGAAGAAAAGGATTCATTTTCAGATGTGATTTTTTTGCTGGAGCAGCACTAAAGGCAGAAAGAGGATATGTATTGGTTCTGATCAGTGTGCATGGCAGCTGCCTCAGGTGGGCTCCGACTGTGTTCATGTTCACTTTACTACTAATGTTCAATTTCCAAGACAAGACCCTGAGAACCCCAAACACACCTGGAGATGTGTGTTCAGTTTTCTGGTTGTGTGTTCTTCATTTCAGGAGCTTTCTTTCAGTGACACAAGATCAGGCAGTAATCACAGCTAATCCTGCTACTAATATTTATAAATATTTTCCACTTTCTGAGACACAAAACAGACACAGTTTCGACTGATGACTTGTCTTAGAACATGTCTAGCTGACTCAGATTGGTTCGCTCAAATTGACAAGATGCTTCCAAGTGTATATAATATATATACAGAGAGAGCGAGAGCGTGTGAGAGAGAGAATAATGGCGAGGGTGCTCGCTCTGGTGAAACAAAGTTCTCAGGCATTCTCGATGGTGCATGAACTCATCATGCACAAACAACTTCTTCTCTACATTTTTTACTTATTACCATGGTCTTTTACAAAATAACTAAATACGAGCAATGATAATAAACTGTTAAATGTATATTCAATAAACACACTACTACACTAATACTTTCTATCCTAATCTGATCCTTGCCAGGTATTCCCTCTTGGATATCCACAGTAAATAATTCATTTTCTTTTACAGGGATAATATAGAGGGCAATTCATACACTTTAGATGAAACACACCAGTGAAATCATCACTAGGATTATTTTATATTCAATTCCTGCCAAAAATCCCCTACATTTTACACAATGAACCTTAAATGTTGGTCATAACTGTGGTACTTGGAGAGACAAATATTTTTTGAGGTGGTGCATAGTGCAAAACGTTTGAGAACCACTGGTCTAGACTTGTGAGATTTCTTAGCAAGCATGTGTTCCATCATCGGCTTAATGGTATGCTGTTTGTGCACAGTGTTTGTGCATTGTGTGGGTGTGTGAGTGAGGTGGGGTACTTACAATCACTGAAAAGATATTCACAATATTGCTTACATTATAAGTAGTTCAGGATCCACACAAGTTATTTGAAATAAATTAGCAGAAATGCTAAAATGCCCCCTGGTGGCTTCTTTCCTCAGTACAAATCTTCCCTGCGGTTTTCTGGTTTAAGCAGTCTGGCTGCAGTCAGAGCTGAGGTGTCTGATTGCTCCTGAATGAGACATGTGACAGACTCTGTCTGTCAGCTATCCCTGCCACGCTCCCTCTCTCCCTGTCTCGTATATGCTCACTCACTCTCTCTCTGGCTGGCTGTCTAGTTTGCTGCAGGTTTTCCTGCCGCATGATAAATCTGATGCTAAATTTAGAGGCACTTTTTCTCGAGCAGGGATTACTGGCAGAGCAAGAGGGAGAATGACAAGGGGAGAGAGAGAATTGCAGCGGCAGGCTAGTTCACTCTGCCAGGCCCCGTAAGAGCACTTCTAAAAAACTTCAATTTTTGCTCTGTCTCTGTGTCCCAACAAACAGCAGCCATTCACTGCCTGACATATTTGACGTCCTTGTAACTTCCTTATCCGGGACATATATGTGTTGACCTTTGACAAGCTCCAAAAGTCAATCTTCCAGAGAAATATCCACACCAAGTTAGGTTCAAAACTGTCCTAGTGTTAAATTATTTTGCATACACACTAACACGCACACATCACATGGGTGATTTTTGCATTGTCTGTTGTCCAGTAGCTGATATTATTCCCATCCAGGTCATTTGGTTCTTTGAAATCTGTTTCTGAATGAATGTACAAATGAGTTGAAACTGAGTTGAAATCATGCTCATCATGTGATTACAGTTATGTGATAGGAACGCCCCCAGCAGGCCCTTGGGCAATAGATATGGGGAAATAGGTCTCATTTTATGTTTTTTTATGGCTATGTGAAATAGCCTCCCCTGCCTCAACCCCTCTCTTCTAAAGCATTGATAGAGCTAAGGTGGCCTTCATGCGTCCAAATGTCAATGACCTTATGAAGCAGTCTTCTTGCAAGGTAATGATGTGTCCTTAGATAGATATATATTTAGAAATGTAATTTGATTATTTAGACTGTAAAACTGTAGTTGACCTTAAATTGACCCTGGTGGCTGTGAAATAGAGAAGAGCTGTGTGAATGGGGGAATGTTATTTAAGACATAAATACAGTTCATTAACAAACATGAGAATGGTTACTGATTCTGCCTATTTATGTCAGTTGTGTTTTCTTGTTCCCGCGCTTGCTACATCCAGTGGCTGGAGGCGTAATGGTTTCCGGGTTTGTCCATCTGTTGGTATGTTCCAGTCTTGTGGTGAATTTGCATGTTGCAGCGGCCTCTGTAGAGAGTAAATATAAAGTATTTAAATATAAAGGGGCAATTCTAAGCTAAAGAAACAACAATTTGTACAATTTAGATAAAACACACCAGTGAGAACATTGCTAGGATTAATTTATATTCAATTTCGGTCCCTTTAAGGATGAACCTATACGATTTTTTTTGGCAAAAGGTTAGAGGGATAGTTCACCCAAAAATGAAAATTCACTCGTGGTTGAGTCTACAAATCACTTTTCAGGTGTAAACCAAATCCAATACAAGTAAATGGTGAGCTATCCTTCAAATTTGGCACACATAGTCACTTGGACTAATGGATTAACTTAAGGTCAAAGAGCATATCCTCTTGAATGTGATATCTGAAGCCTGCAACAAGGGGATTTTTTCAATATTTGTTTGGCAGAGATATAGAACTGCTGTGCAGTATTTCTAGTTAACAAATCAAATCTGAAGCGAACAAATAATTGTTTTCTGTATAATTCTTGAAAGGCATTTGTCATATCAGCGGTTATTCAGATTATACCTGTGTCAGTGAATATAAATATGTTCGCTTAAACAAGACACTGAAGTACAAAGATATATCATTATATGTTTGCGTTGTCCACCAGAGAACAGAAAGGTTGATTTTTCAACTGTCCAATGTCCCTTTTAGTTGGTATCTTGGTCATAGTTAAAGAAGAAGAGTTCTGTATTTAACTCTTTTTATATAATCAAATATAATTAGATTTCATCAAAATATTTTATTTGCTGCAATGATGATAACATGCAGAGTCCTGAACTTATTGTCTCCCCCACGTTGGAAACCCAAACAAAGTAAATTCTTTGGTTTCTCTCTTTCGTGCAGATTAGGACGCAGAAGCAGACCTTAGTTATTTTTAAACATGAGGAATCCTCTGAGTACATCCCCCATTCTTCGCCTGGTTTAACTCCTGGGTGCCTCTTAGAGAAGCAGTGTTTGAGGTCTGAAGATTCACATTTGCATTTAGTGTTTCATAGTTTTACTATCTACTAATAGACTGCTGAGCCACACGACTGAGTCCAATGAGTCACAAAATTGTGAGTGCTCCAAGCCCAGCTGTGCAGTGGGATTCTTTCAAGGACAGTGTGAAACCCTGCAGAGGAACTGTTGTCTCAGCTGTCACTATTCTAGATGGGATTTGAATGAATTCACCAGGCTGTTTGTTTCACTTTAATCATTAGTGTACGCCATGTATTAAGATTCATACGCTGTACAGCCACTTGTTTTCATTCTCATTGTTTTAAACTAGTCAAATGTGAAGCACATTTTAATTTATCGGGAACATCTCCACATCTGCGTCATGACGTTCTACCAATCATGTTGCGGCAGTTTAGTATGTATAAAATCTATCACATAGGGGCCCAATTGTGATTGCTCTACTGTCCAGGTTGTGGACACTGAATGTTCTCTTTCAGGCTACATCCATACTAATACATTTTCATTTGTAAATGGCGTTTTCAGTCTAAAATGATCTTTTTCCACACCAACACGCCTGAAATGCAAATCACATGGCTGCTCAAATACACTGGGCATGCGCGTGCCAGTGTAAACAGGAAGCATTTGGTTGTTAGTCGTAGAATTGTTGTAGATCCCGTCTCCAATACATGTAAGCAGTTGTATGACTGTAAAATGCAGGTATTAACGTTACAACAGCTGATAGCCGATACCAGTGTCTTTGTCACACTTTGCAAAAATGTCAGTTTCCGCCTGTCCAGATTGCTGCCCCAGAGTTCTTTGAACTGAAACAGGGACTGCAGCATATCCAAACTTCTAATTCTGAAACTCTGGAGTACTGTCGACACCAGGCGTATCTGTAGCAGAGCTGATGTGTAAGACGTAGTAATTTAGAGGGCAGTAGAACCCTTTGAAGTACTGACGAAAATTCACAGTGTGCACCCCCAGACGTCTTCTGTGTGCTCTTTCATTGTGAAAGCTGCTATTTGGTATCTAAGTCATATCTGTAGACACACCTCCTCCTGTGCCTGCCAACTGGACAATGCTGGAGAAATCGAGTATAAACACCTACAAGTAGGGCTGGGCGTTATGGAAAAAAATTGTGGTGCTCAAGGGCACCTCAGCAGTGCCCAGG